CCAGTCTGCTCCTAAAATACCGCTGTGCCGAGCCAGCGCTCCAGGGCACGGGCGCCAGGACAAGCCTTGCCCTGCCCCGCAGCCAGCCGTGCACACTTGCCTCCCAGTTTACACCATTTACTACTCCATGAAGCTTGGCTAGCGCCCAGTTTCAACTCAGGGAATAAGCATGAAATGACTGAGAGAGGAAAAGCAAGAGGGGACACGAGCCACAACGCAGGACAAGCCTCAACCCCCGCTGTTCTGCACCCCAACAGCAAGAACCGCGGCAGCGCGACTGGCTGGGGAGCCGCGGGCTGGGGGGAAAGGGCTGTCAGCGAGGGGCGAGCAGAGCAGGGGGTCCCCGGCGCCCCCTCAGGCTCAGAACCGCCTGCTGCGGGGCTGGGCTAGCGCTGCAAGCTCAGGTACAGAGCAGGTTTGGTCCCCGTTTGCTGTGGAGGGCTCCAGCCGGCGTTCCACAAGCAGCAACCACCCTGCGGGGGCACCGGCAGCCTTTGCACGTTGGGGTCGGATTCGGAGGGAACGGGCGTCCTGGCTTCGTTCTGCAAAGCGAGCGGGAGGCGTTCAGCGCCGTGAGGTGCCCAGACGCGAGGGTCTGGGGTCCGTGCGTGGTGCTGGAATGCTGGGGGGAGAGAGGGGGAGGAGGAAGGGGTTCGCTTCAACCATCAGGCGGGAAATAGAGTTAATTTTTGAGACTCGTGAGGGATCCGTACCTGTCCGCAAGCAGCCGAGGAGCTGCGGTCCCTCCTCCGGCGGAGCAGGAGCGCTGCCCCGGCCCTGGGGAGCAGTGCCACCCAGAGGGCTTCTCCAGAAATAGCTGAGGCCATCTGACATCTCGCCCAACCTGGCAGCTGGTTTTCTCCCCTTCTGATCACCGAAAGCGTCGCTTTCCTCGCCAGCTCCATCCCAGTTGTCTTTCAACCCACCCTCCTCCCTCCCGAGACAAGCAAGTCTCACCCAACAGCAGCCCCAGGTTAGGGAACAGCTTCAATGACAACTCAGGGCATTTATTCACCACGCTGGAACATAAAAATAACATCTTTAATAGCTTTATCATTGGCACAGATGGTATTAAAATTCACCACTTTTTATTAATGGACTATGAAACACGGTGCAGTGCCGAGGCTCCAGCTGCATGTTGCTTCTACACCACGTAGCTAGGACAGGTTGGTGTTGGCGTTGACTCTTTTCATTTACATTCAGCATTTACAGTCAGAGAGCAAACCCAACAGCTAGATTCAACCACGCGCACACGGAGAAAAGCCTGGGAAGGATGCTGCTGCTGGCAGCTGATGGGGTCTCCTCTCAGCAGCACACAGAAGCCCCAAAATTAGTTGTAACACGGGTTAGAGGAGAGACTTGCCATAGCTACTGCTGGCCAAACAGCACGTGACGTAACGCAGGAGCTTCTGCTCACACTGAAGGAAACACTGCAGGGAGAGAGTCCCGCTCCCCTCGCGCAGAGGCGAAGGCTAAACCAGCGCTCCAGGTGCCAGGGCACAGCCCAGCAGCTCTGTCAGCGGGGACAGGGAGTTTTTTGAGGAACCTAGAACACGGCGGAAAAATACTACTTCACTTTCTGAAGTACTTTTCCCAAAGGGCCTCCAGCAAACCTCACTGCTGCCCCCCCAGACCAGCCGCTCCTATCGTCCTCGTCCAGGTGTAGCCGGGATGGTGGAGGCACCACACGCTCCAGTGACTTGCCTTGGGAAGCAAGAGCAAGCTGAGGGGAGAGCAGGGGCCGGGCAGAAAAGCCCCATCCTGACCAAAAAGCAGCGTCAAGAACCACTACGCAGGATGAAAGTCACTCCCAACACCCCTTCGCAAGAGGGGAAGGCTCAACGCGCCCCAGCATCCGTGGGGACACGGCCCCGAGGGGAAAAGCCGGCAGTGCCGGCCTGGAAAGGACAAATACAAACTCGAGCGGGACAGATACTCCCACGCTGGCGCCCTGCATCCAAACCATCGGCCACTAACTCCTGCTGGCAACCACACCCCCCCCAGCACCCTGGCGCGCCTGGTCTCCGTCCTCTGCTGGAACGGGGGGCGTCTCGCCAGCGCCACAGCCCTGTCACAGCCCTGTCACAGCCGCCCTCAGCAGCGACCACGTGCAAAACTCACTTGGGGAAACATTTATAGGTCTCTGGCAGGATTAGAACTCGATTAATGAAGAATTTAGTCCTCAGTGAAAACACAATCGCCGACAGCACTGCAGAGACATCTTGCTCATTAGCAACTCCAGCCTGACAAGTATGCAGTCTGTTCAACCCAAAAGTCACTGTTCTTAGCGACCCCGAAGGTGCCAAGACACCACAGTCACTTTCAGCCACAAATTTTCGTTATCATTTGTTGGTTATCAAAGTTTCCAGTTTCTATGGGTGCTCTAGAATCACAATGAATTATGAGGCATTTCTGGCCTCTGTTCTGTTTCGAGGAATTCCCTCTCACCATCGCGATCGGGTGCCAACACGGAGGGAGGTAAGAATGCATAGCGAGGTCTCCCATCATCTGTCCTCTGTCGAGGCCATTTTTTCCCCATCTAATGACCCTGCACTGTCACGGTCTCCGTTTCACCTTTAGTTTCAGCAGGGGCCTTGCCACCAACTGCTTTGTTGGAATAATCTCGCTCTCCAAATATAGTGCTTCCAATCCTGACGTTCGTAGATCCAACCTCGATCTATGAAGAGACAGAAAGGAGCTCAGGGCAGGGCTGCCACCCCCACCTGCCAGCACAGTCCACAGAGGGACGGTTCCCCACGCGCTCGCCGTCCGCAGCTACAGCTGGGGTCTGTTTGGAACCCCTGAGCTCTCCCCCAGGACCAGGAGAGCTGTTTCTTATGGAACAGCACCACCTCCATCCAAGGGGAGGCCCAAGAGGCCTGTTTGGTGACGCCTGGGCTGGCCTTTGGGGTGCCTACTGCTGGTGCTGGTACGTTTGTCTCCCAAGAGAAGGGGTGGCAGAAGGAAAGGGGACTTACCGCGTGCTGGAAGTCTGTGGACATGCCCATGCTCAGCTCCACCTTCTCAAGGGGGAGGTTGAGCTTTTCACACACTTCCTGCCGCAGAGACAGCAGCATCTAGAAGGGAGGAGGAAAGAAGAGAGGATCACACACTTGACAGCCACGCCAGCGCCGTTCCAGGCTTTCACAGATCACGATTTCTGCCTTTCTTTGAAGCCTCCTCCACACACAACACCAAACTCCCACACTTCCCACCTCAGCTTCCTCTGCAGCACCGTAACAGCGCCTGGAGACTCCCCATCACGGGCTGCGTTACTGACACCACACGTCCCTGCAGGACTACACATCTTCTGAGGATACCCAGTTATCCCAGCAGCGTGGCAGGCAGGGAGGGCAGCCCCAGCTCCTCTGCCCGACGCAGCCCCGCGCACGCAGAGCGCAAAGGGAGGCCGACTGACACCTCCTCTGGAAGCAGGACCAGAGGATCCGGGGCAGTAACTGCTGCACGAGGTGCCCCTGCCAACACCCGGGCTACAGCTCCAGAGAACGGAATCCAGACGAGCCCCCGGCCCCTGCAGAACCGAGCCCAACGGCTGCATTAACGCCGATGCTTCGGAGCTCTGTGCTACCCTGAACCAGGGGTTTCCATCGACAATCTACAGCTGGACTGCGACTGGTTTGGCTGGGACAGACAGCAGACTGTCACGGGAGACCAGCCAGCAGTTTTCTTCTAGAAAGCCTTACCTGGAAGTCAGGATTTGGGCCCTTACTAAGGTCGTGCCCGATGCTGCCGATCGTCATCAGCCCCACGAATTCCAGGCTTGGACACTTGCTGATGACGTGCTCCACGGCAGCCGCGGTGTCTCCGGGAGGAAGGCCATGCTTACCTGGCAAAACGCGGGGAGACTTGTGCCAAGCTCTGCCAGAGACCTCCCCCACCCCGCAGCCAGGCAGACGGTAACGGATGAGCAAGTTCCATTTTAGCTTAGAGAAACGCCTGAAGAGCACAAACTAACCCATCCCCTCCGGGCTGTTTCTGCCACGTCAACAGGACACGCCTGCCTATCGCCAGAAAAAGCCACTTACTGTCTTCTCCGCTCGTGTTAACTTGCACCATGACCTTCAGCTTCTGAGACGACCCTTTTTTCTGCCATGAGCTGTTGACTCTGTCGGCCAGTTTCACGGAGTCCACTGTTTCCAACATGAACAGGTTGGGGACAGCTGGGGACAAAACACAGGCTGAGGACAATTCTGCTGGCACAGAAGTTTTTGTACCTACAACTCAGCTCGCTGACAGTCAGGCACTGGGGAGTCAATGTACGTGGGGCTGTCGCTATCTGAACACTGGAAGACTATCGCCCACGGGGACACCGCACATAAAATTAAAGAGGGTTTACCGATCAACTTGTTGACATTACTTTTCTGCAGATGGCCAATAAAATGCCACTTAATCTCCGGACAGGAGGACAGAATCTGAAAGCAGAGAGGAACAGTTCAGTTTGAATGACAATTCTCTCTTCCCTCCCACAGCACTTAAGCCTTAGTCTGCCCACAAACGAAATACCAGACACCCAACCTCCTTCTTTTGTTTACCCTGAAAGCACAGCTCAGGCAGTGCTTGTGGTGTGAACTGAGAGTGCTCCACAGTCTGGAGAGGAGCAGGGCTGTGGCTGCAGAGCGTCACGCGGTGACTGGGGAAGGCAAAGCTCTTTTGTAACTGAACAGTCATAAAGTGATATTTTCCCCAAACTGAGCACTACCGTTGGTTTTTTTTTTTTTTTCAAATGAGAACTGCACACCTCCTACAGCACAAAGCACAAAAGGTAAAGCACTGTTCAGACAAGTATTTATGACTAAGGTGCATGTATTCACAGAATCCTCTGGAGCCAGCAAGGCACAGAGGAGGAACGGGGCAGAGGCAAAGAGCTAAGAATAAGCCCACCGTTCATCTGAAAGGACAAGGATCAAACAGCCTCCATTGCAAAGCCCCAATAAAAACCAGGGCTTTTGCTGTACAGCTCTCAGGACTCAGCTATACAAGGAGAGAGAGTACGTAGGAAACTGTGTACTTACTCTGGAGTCTGATGCCTTTTCTAGCAACTCTTGAACCTAGGAGAATTCAAGACAATCTCTCGTTAACACCATGCCAGACATGCCTGCAGCGCACGAACGGCCTCTCTGGAATGGATGTTCCCGGGACCAACGTGCACCTCATGAACACACGGCCAGGGGCCTGATGCCATAACCGAGCCCCGCTCCCCAAAAGCAGGGCCACGAGCACCGGGCTGCCCGGTGCCGGCCTTCGCTCTGGGGTCCACTCGCAGACCCGTGGGGCCCCGCCAACTCACGTAGTTCTCCCCGAAGCTGCGCTGCCCGTGGCTGT